AGCTTCAGGAATAAAGAGATAATTCAGAAAGAAAGTTATTAAGAAAAAGGTTTTCAGGGTCTAGAAGAAAGTTGGTATCAAGAAGGATTATATTTTAATGTTTCAATTGTATTATTAAAAATTAACCAGTTCTGTTGTCTGATATAATAAATATAAATTTAAAATTCAATTAATGTACATCTTAAATTTATAAAATTTTATATCAGTTATGGTATATCTCCTAACTTTTTCTTAAAGGGCCAGATAGTAAGTATTTTAGTAACTCTATCATTGTTGCACAAAAGCAGCCATAGACAATACTCAAACAAATGGGTATGGCTGTAAAATAAAACTTTATTTGTAAAAACAAGTGTCCTGTTTTTTATAAAAAGTTCTGGAACAGATAAAAAGAGCTAGCAGCTCTATATTTGTTTAATCAGTTAAACTTGGTTGGGGAAGAGCATCAGTTCTATAACTGAAAGAAAGAAGGAGTGAATGGATCCTAGAGGACAGTTAATTTCTGCCATAAACCTTACTCTGAATTTGCACTGAGGGTGAGTCAGTTTAATTCATTACAATTATGTTAAGACCTACTATCAGGGCCTGTTCAATGTGAAAGTCATAATAGACTTTAAAAAACAGTCAATGGAATTAAATCCCAAATTTGAACTATCTTAGATTGTCATTAGTAATGACAACTCTTAAAACCAAGGATCATTTTGTCGATGACTAGAATTTCCTGAAGATTAGTTAATTCTTATGGATTATTTACTTCCCTTTGCTTTGTTTCTTCCTAATCTTACCTGTAAGACCATTTGTCTTTCAAATCCAAAAACATTCCTAAAAGAGAAAAATTTTAAAGGATTATGAAATTCCAAGGTCTAAAAGGCTCTCCAGAACCCATCTAGGTCTTTTCCTATCCTTTTTGTAGGCTATCTTATAGACTTCTACTATTGAACTTTTTCAGTCTCAATTCCTGTGATCATTTTTGCCATGGTCAAACTTACTCTTACATTCAAGAAATTAACTGACCTTCAAATCCTCATTTATTCCTTTTACCCTCAAAGGAATTTTTTTCTTGACTGATTGTTACAGAGGAAAGATACTTTAGCAGGTGTCTTTTTTTTTTTTTTTTTTGCTTTATGGCGATTTATAAAGATAAAGAAAAGGTTTTGGTGTGAAAGCCTATAACGCCCGTGAGTCACATACCAGAGTTGACTTCATGTTTTAATCACCATCTTCATCAGTATTAATAATCTGCCTGGTGAACAGTTGCTATTAATAATAAAAATAACGAGCCCATTCATTTTTTAGATGCCCACTAAGTGCTCAACACCGTGTTCTTGGCCTTGTCATGGATGATCTCATCTCCATTTTCACAACACTGAGGAAAGTACTATGCCCATTTCTACAGATAAGCAGACCTAGCTTCAAGAGAGGATAAGCCTACCCAAGGGCTCAAGGTGGCAGAACTTTGAGTTCATTGATTTCTGAGCCTCTAACTCATGCTTTTTCCACTGAACTGTAGAGAGTCCGGGAGCAGTTTTAAGCTCCCAGCTGAAATATATAACTCTTATGTCATCATCCTGATATTCCTGTGCTCACTATATAGTGTATAGCTCTGCTCCAAAATAAAGGTGTTTTTCTACCGTACTTAAATGTTCATTCTTTTAATTCTTTCTAATCTGGTCTGATATTTTCTCTTATCATGGTTCTTTTTTTCCTGAATTTTTCTGACTTTGTCATAGTTCTTTCCTATTTCTCCTTTTCTTATCCCCTTTCTACAAGTAAAAAAGAATAGGTCAGCCTCTCTGATTTTAGTGGTCCTTTCTTACCATTACTTGACTTTTAAAAAATATTTGAATGACATCTTCCAATATAATCTCTCTTTATATATTGTATCTCAATCTCTTTTGCTCTCTGTCCTCAAGGACAGAGTTTACATTTGCATTAAATTCAGGTGACCTTCCCTGCCTATCTCCTCCTCTTATATTCTTATACCCCTCCTCTGCTCCCTGATTCCATCTCTTCTCATTCCCTGCCCATAAGAACATCTCTTGTAAATAGTACATTAAATACTTTACCTCCCTAAGGGACTTGTGAGGATTAATTAGTTGATGTCTATAAAATGGCTAGGAATATAAAATACTCTCGGGTAGTTCTTTTTGATGGTGTTATTGCTTTTAACATTCAGTGGCTTCTTCTGTCCTCCAAGCTGTTTTTTGTGTCATTATCCCCATTCCACCTGTGCACTCACTGAGTGTTTATCACATGAAATGTTTTATGAAATTCTATTTGAAAGATGTTTCATAAGAGTAAATTTTATTTTAGGAAATAAAATTGTTTTCTTTTGTTGCAGAAAGAAAGGATTTGATATTAAATGGGTGGATGATACACATGCACTAGGAGTATTCTCCAGCCCGATTACAGGTATTTACCCAATGGATTTCAGTCTTGCTTTCTTATTGTCTATTTTCTCCTGCTACTTGTTCTTATTTCCCTTCTATCCCAGCCAATTGGCATTTTATTCAGGTAGTATAGGTAATGGTAATAGGGCAAATATAGGTTTTTGAGGCATGGTACTTGGTACCTGTGTGCTCCCTCCTTTACCTTTTCACCTTAATCCAATGGTATTTGGAGAGATAGTCAGCTCCTCACAAGGTTACTTGTTTGCATAGCTGTCAGTCATGATAGTGTATAAACAAATTGCAGATAGAGATTTAAGAAGGCAGTGTGACTAAATTTTATAATATTTGTGATTTTTCCCTCCAGGCAAATGAATTTGGAGTAGTCTTTTAACCTATCCAGTGAGAAACTGTAATACCTACTCTCTGAATATGTAATTTGGTGTTTTTACATATATCATTGGCCTCATGGTAGATGTGATGCAGAGGCATTCAAAGAAATTAGAGATGTTAGAGTGTTGGTTCCTGTCTGAACCACCTAGAATATAGGTCTGCACACTCGTTCTGGAAAGGGCCAAATAGTAAATATTTTAGGCTTTATGGGGAATAGGGTTACTCACTACTTAACTCTGCTGTTGTAATAAGAAAGCAGCCATAGAAATATACAAATAAATGGAAGTGGCTCTGTTTCAGTAAAATTTTATCTTCAAAAACAGGTAGTTGGCTGTGTTTGGTCACAGAGCCACAGTTTGCTGATCCCTGATCTAAAATAATCACTGCCAAATTGTTCCTTACAGATTTTCTAGATCTTACCGTCTCTTTTGCTTGCTGTGGGGGGAAAAAAAAAGGCATAACATTTAGGAACTACTTTCTAAGAACTAGCCCTAAATTTTCCTTTGCATCACTCCACTTCGGGTCTTCTAGTTCCTTATACCTCTTCCTCTTTGCAGCTCGTGATGCTTTGGGTATTAAACATACCATGGTGAAGATCCGGCCCTTGTCACAGGCCACAAGAGCCGCCAAGGCCAAAGCTAGAGCTTATGCTGGTGAGCCTATAATCTCTGGGCTTTTTTCTTGTTGATGGTGGTGTTATTGTTCTTTCCAGCAGTTTTATAGCATCCAGAGTTCTAAAGACATATCATTTTTATTTTTAGTGTTAAAAGAAGTATGTTTAAGGGGGAAAAAAAAGGAGCAAAGGCCATGTTGGAAATATAGCGTCTGAACAGCCACATGGAGAGTGTGAGATACTAACTACAGGCAGTGCAGCAACCAGTTTCTGATGACATCCCTGCCTAGTTTATCTCTGTTTTTAGCTGTTCGATAGAGTCACCATAAGAAATTGTCGATGCATATAATGAAGCCAGGGTGTTTTTTTGCTTTGCCATGTTAATTTCCTCTGATCGTCATTTATTAGGCTTGTATTAATTATTGCTGATGCAGCCCTTGTTAGTCTATTTTGTATGTTAATTACTGAGTTAAATCAGTTGGAGCCATAGTGCTTTCTTTTCCTTACTCCTTCCTACTCCCTCCCTTTCTTCCATTCAGAATTTCTCCAGCCAGCAAAGGAGCGTCCTGAGACTTCAGCAGCCCTAGCCAGAAGGTTAGTCATCAGTGCCCTTGGGGTTCGAAGCAGGCAGAGCAAGACTGAAAGGGAAGCAGAGCTCAAGAAACTGCAAGAAGCCCGAGGTGAGTTGAAGTGATGGTGTTCTTCTCTAGTCCTTCTAGAGCTCACTGTGGTCATGCATTTAAAAAAAAAAAATGAATGAAGCCCATTCCATTCTGTCATTTTCATTTCCTAGAAGCCTCCCAAGTGTATAGAAATTTTCATACCTTGTATTCAGGAGGAAGATATTTTAGGATTTGTCTCTCTGTTCCACACACCAAGGCATCCTAATCCATGCTCCTACTGTTTTTTTCCAAGAGATAGGTTTGGTCTTCTCAGCTCTTCCATGGCTTTTTCTAAAATTTTTCCTCCAAACTCTGAGAAAAATTTTTCTGTTAAGACAAAATAGACTCCCCGGCAGAAAACATCATTTGCTGTGGTTTTACTGGGCTGTGATTGCCATAATATTGGTATCATGTTATCAAATAGTTTAGATCTTAGAGAGAAAGCAAATTAAGGAAAAGCTAGCAACTGACATTGATGATAACTGTGGAAGTGTTTTTATCCTTTTAAGACAGTCCTGAGTGGCTTCATTAGAGTACATCCAGATTCACATGTCTTCTGATTATTTTCCAGGGTCTAAGAGTACTCAGAAAATATTTCCTCTGATTCACAAGCAGGGTTTTTCTTTCGGTATAGTTTAGAGTTGAAGTTAAAATCTGTCTCTCCCTTTTATAGGCTGTTGAATTGTATGTAAAGTCTTGGGACTCCAGCTTGGCACTTAAGTACTTTTTATCAACCTTCAGGTTTTAGACAGTCTTACTGCCTAGTCCACGATCTCTGGAATCTGTGAAGGCAATTTATTCTGAAAATTCCACTTACTGAAAAGTAACTTCATTTTTCCATTAAATGAATTGAAGTTTCAAACTCCTCGTTTATTGCTGGTCTAACAAAGCCATTAATACTTACTGTCCTCTCTGCTTTGCTGATAGCAGGCAGCTGTGGACTCTCAGCTGCAGCGGTCAGATAACCAGTGACAGAGTATATCATGGCAGGTGCTAGAGTTTCAGAGTTGAACCCAACTAATTTTTGAAACCTTAATGATTATAATGAGGCAGTTTTGATTTTTTTCCAATGCATTTTCACTCAAAGGCCTCTTAAAGACTATAGAAACAGGAGATTACTCTGGTTTTTATAGATGGCAGTAACATAACTAGATTAAAGAAGAATGTGCAGTGTACTTAACCCTTTAATAATTCGTTATCTCTGAAAAAAGTGATTTCTATGATACCACAATTATCTCAAAAAATCAATAGAGGGTAATAGCAGTGGTCTCTATAAAAGGAGAAATGATTCCTTTTGCAATGTATCATGCTTCCCCATGGGTGTAATGTTACCTGTATCTCTACAGATACTTCAGCAATTGTTTTGTGTGGATATCATCTGAGTATTCCCCCTCTGTTTCTCTGTAGACACATCAGTATGCAGCTCCACTCAAAAGTATTTGTTTTAAATGTCTTCGTATTTGTTTAAATACAAAGAACATTTCAGTGATGCAGTTAAAAATGAGACTGTTGGCTAAGGGGATACCCTATTACTTTTATAAAGAAGGCCTTTATTTGTGAACAGAGCTCCATTGTGATAAGTTTCTCCTATTTCTTGGTTATGAGGCTACATGAACTACAGGGGACTCTTCCTTTATTACATGCTTCTGCGCTCTCCCATTCTTCATATCTGAAAAAGTGCATATGGGAAATTTCTTGATATATCTCTTTCTGGCATCTTTCTGTATTGAGCATATACTCATATACCACCCTACATGGAGCCTAAGACTTCTCACTCATTTTTTTTTTCTCAGCTCAAAAAAAATTTTTTTTTTTCCTATGGAAATTAAAAGTACTGTTTAGGTATTAAGCAGAACAAATAATTTTGTGCCAAATCTTTTATTCCACTGGAGGGAGAGGGACCAATATAGCATAGTGGATAACATTACAGACTCGGAAATCAGACTGTCTGGGTCCACATCTTAGCTCTGCCATTTACTGGATGTGTGACCTTGGGCAAACTGCTTACTCTCTGGAGGCCTCTGTTGACTCATGGAAAACAAGTGAGATAATCCATGAGAGATACTCCATCATCTTCAAAAACTGTAGGAACTCTCCAGCTCTTCTTTCTATGGGTCTATAATAAGTATATGATAAATGTTAGCTGCTGCTGTTTTTAGCAGTAGCAATATCATTATATGGTGAGTCCAGCACAGATTCCAGTGCATACTTTTGTCATTACTCTTTTATTTTAAAATTCTATAAAATGCTGTCAACTCCATTTAGCATTCACTGAGCACCTGCCCTGTGCAAAGTGTTGTGCTTCCTACTTGGGAAAATTTAGAGAGATGGCAAGATTTTGTTCTTCTCCTTAAGACTTACAGTCTAGTGGAAATATCTGCCTTGACTAAGGAAGGAAATATGAATCTCTTTTAGTTATTTTAAGCAATTGTTTCTCTTCTCACTTCAGTTCTGAAGATTTTAAGATTAAAAGCCGTAAAAAGGTTTTTGTTGATTAAAAGGACTGAGAGGAAGTTCTAAGCAATCAGTGTAACATGTTATAATGATATTGTGCTAAGGTAAGTCTGTGATGGATGGTATTGTGTCCAGTTTAGAGATGGCCCAGAGAAGTTAGGTAACTGGCCCAAGGTCACCCAGCTGGTAAATTGAGAGGAGGCATTTGAATCTAGGGCCCTCTCTAATTATTAAAACCCACGTTCCTTCTACGATATTGTGTTTCCTCTTGAAGGACTTTTCCTCTTGAATTGACATTGTTTTCCCAGAAAAAAAAATTTATATAAAAAATATTTTAAAGTCTCCAGAGAATAGATATGACAGACTTCTTTTTAGTTATCTATACCAAAGGTTAGGAGTTTTCACTGTCAGAAAAATCTTCCTTAGGTCTAACTTAAATTTACATGATAGTTTAAACCAATTTCCTCTTTTTTTTTCCTTAGTAGAAATTGAGAACATCTGGACACAGTTCTGTTCTAATAACCTTTAACTATGAAGATCAAGGGCAAATTGTTTAGGAATGAAGGAGTCTGGGCTCTAATAGAGATTTTGCCATTAACTAGCTATGTGGCCATGGGCAAGTCAGTTATATCTCTCTGTGCTCCAGTGTCAAACAGAATAAAAGTAATGCTGTACCTATCTAAACATGGAGAATTTTTTGAGCACAAGAAAAGTTAACACATGTAAAAATGTTTAGAAAGGTGCTTTACAAATTCAAGATACTATTCTTTATGTGGCTGTTGGAAATTTAGTGTTTATTATGTATGAACCAGTAATGACAAATATGTATTATGTACTGCTGCATCCCGTGTATTACACATGGCAGATATTGCTAATCAGAATCAGTCATGACATTTTTTTTGGTGAGTTTTGACATGACCATTGCCAGTTGATTAGAATTAGCACGGGATTGAAATCTATAGAGACACTTTTGTTAATAATACTATATAATAATCTCCCAGTCTTTTTTTTTCTCTCCCACTTGAAAAGTTCTGCTGTCTGGCACAGTGCCTGGGATATAAAAAGCTACTCAGTTCATTGACTGAGTACATGAATGACATTGGTTACTTTAATTTTTCTTCATAAATCTTGTTTATGACTCTACTCTGAATGCTAAATCCTACATGTTTTTCTTTATAAAACCCAGAGTTGAACACTGCATATGAAACCCTCTTAATTAATGAATTTGGAATTTGTGATTTTGAGTTTTAAATGTTTCCTTGCTAGATTTTTCCATCCTACTTTGATTTCTTACCCTTTTAATGAGAGGGCTATGCATCAGTCATTAAAAAGGAGATTTAGAAATTAAAGCTACTCTTGGAAGAACTGAGAAAAAGGAAGTATCCAAATCATTTAAATCAAATCACATTGTATATCACCAGGAGGAAGAGCTTTAGTACATAGTCCCTGAACATGGAGAAAGTATCTTTTAGTCCAGCAGAGTATATAACAGATCAGAGCTATAATAAGAGTGGGAAATGAAGGTATAGATCATCCTTGAGTGCTTTGTATTTGACTTAATCATGTGTTTTAAATCAGTGATTCATACTAAATCATAAAACCATGTTTTAAAGACCAAACTCAGGAATATATGTAAAATTTTCCCATATTCCACTTATTCAAACACTTGATTCCTACCTAAAATAGGCAATTGATATAATTACCTCTCAGATTAAGTTATCCATTTTCAAAGCCTGCTATTTTATTTCATACTTTATTTCCATTTTATTCTTGGGGGTAGGTGATTAATTGGCTAGCTCTGAAAGGCCATCTTTTGGGTCACAGGCCTGAAAGGCAGAATAAATAAACAATAATTTAATCACCTAAGTTGATTAATTAAATCACTAAGAACTTAAAATCATCTATATAGGATACTTAGTCAACTGTAATAAAACAGATTTAATCACAGTTGCCACCTTCTGAAATCTTTTTAGGCATTCCATTATTCTTACAGGGCAGTGCTGCATTGCTGGACTTATAATCTAGGTCTTAGGGTATTTTCTGGCTGTCTTTTCTCCCCTAATGTCTGAAGTTCCCTTCACTTCTAATCACATTTTCTTTTATTAAAATGAAAAAAGTACATGTTTTTCCTGAGATGCGGAATTTACCTTTTTTTTTTTTTTGGTTTCAGTTGCTGTTTAATAATCTTACTTCCCTTGCTCAAATCAAAGTTGAGAATGTTAAGCCTAGGATTAACTAGTTCGCCAATTGTTGCTAAAATACATACCACATGGTTCCATGAGTTTACACTTAATTCGTTGATAATCATTCTGCTCTCTAGAGTTAAATGCCCCCCTTATGTGATCCAGACTATATTTTCCTAGTATATTGATGATTATATAAATACTTGGTAAACTTAAAATCTCATAACCCTAGTAAAATTAAAAGGTTAATTAGATTACTTTTTCTTGATCTACCAGGTCTGTCTGTCCCTCCATAAAAGAAGGCAATTAGATTAGCCTGACTAGACTTGTTCTGCACAAAGCATGTTGATTATTACTCTGTAGGTGGCTACAAGTAGATTTTGTGATCATGTTTCTTAATGGTAGAAGTAAAATTTAAAAGTCTTTAATTTATGTCCCTTTTCTTTTTTTTTTTTTTTAAAACATGACACCAAACTGGCCCTTTTTCATTCTTCAGTACTTTCCACTCCCTCAATTAGAAGTGGTGGCTGACCACATCATGATTTCAATCAACTCATTTAATATAGTCATTTCTGTCAATTTATTTATTACACTGGGGAATGAATGTCTTTAAGCCCAGCTTATGTAACTGTTTTTGGTTAATCATTTCATGCTAATTCTTATATTCTTCCTTAGTTCCTTGCCCTTAGGGCCGCTATTGGGCTCTTTACTTTTTTAATCGTTGGAAGTAAAGTTAATGGGAGCTTTTTTAAAATGAAGTTTTTCAGCTGTTATCTGCTTTCCTTTGTCTTTAATAAAGGGACCAACATTTAAAAAATCTTCTTGTCATTATATTTTTTTCCACCATTTTTTCCCTTTGCAGATATTTTCAGATTGTATTTTCAGATATCAGGATAGTGGAAATTATGCTGGATAAGAATTAAGGACCTGAGTTCCAGATTAATTTCTTTCACTGATTATGTAACCTTAGGCAAGTCATTTAAACTCTCCAATCTTCCATTTCCTCATCTTTAAAGTTAAGGAATTATTTTTAAGTCCCATCCTAACTGATATGTTTCTATTCTGTTCCTTTTCTGTATTATATTTTCTGTATTTATGCCTCATGTTTTCACTATTTCTTTGAGCTTGTCAGTTTGTCTTCCTGCTCTTGCTAGTTTTCTCACATGGTTTACCACTAGCATTTCCTCTTACATTTGTATATATTTGGTAATTCAGAACTACAGTCTTTTATTAGAAAGCATGAGGGTGGGAAATGTTTGAAAATTTTGAACTTTTCAGATTTTAGAAAGGTAATATGGTATCTACAATATGTTTAGGGCTGGCCGGTTAGCTCAGTTGGTTAGAGTGTGGTGCATATCCAGGGTTCAATCCCTGTACCGTCCAGCCACCAAAACCAAATAAACACACACACACACACACACACACACACACCACCAAAAGCACATTATCATTAATAATTCTGCAGTGAAGTGTACAACTATTCGCATTAAATGGGATATATAAAGACTATAAACAGCCTTGTATCTTTTCAGATTAGATTTGCCATCATCAATGAGTTTGGGTCCCAAACTTATAAAAAAGCAACAGCTTTGTTTTCAGAACTGTTTTGATTTTGGAATGGTGTATTATGGGCCAGTCATATTTTTCTATTGCTCCTGGATTTCTTTTCTTATAACTTCCCATATTACCTTTCTGATGTTTCCCACCTTATTGAAAAACTTGAGTTCTAATAATTATGTTTCTGTTTTCTTCACTTTTCCCTGGAATCCAGATTGTTTTGATTGCTTTCGTCCAATACTGCCTTTGCCTTTAGATCCCCTCCCCCTTCTCTGTGTCTGTTGGAAGCAAAACCATACTGACTTCCTAAGAAATCCTGGAATCCTTTAGACAAGCCAATTATCCTTTGTACTGTCTCCTGGAGAATCCCAGCCCAATTCAAGACTGCCTTAGAGCTGAGTCCCTGGGCACTATATTAACCAGTCTTCAGTTTGCAATTTGCTGACCCCCATTTTTTGCCTCTTCTAACTTTGCTGCTATATTCAGATAATGCCACAAGATGGTGCCCAAATAGCAGTGAATTTCTCTTCCTCACATTTCCAAGTGCCAGTCAGCTTCCTGACCAACTTCTTTACCTTTAAAGTACAGTCAAATATAGTATAAGAATTTTGTAAGGGATTCTGCCAATTTAGAAACATATGTCAAAATAGCAATTGTTAACTCTAAACTCACCTTGATTTCTATAATTCCCCTGGTTCCGGACTTGCCAAATCTTTTACAGATATTATCGATCTAGAAAAATAGCCCTTGTAAGGAAGCATTTAAGCTTATCATCTATGATTTAGGCTTATCATTTTATGGTGTCAAGGTAAATGACTACCCATGAAATTAGAATTGGTATTGTGGCACCTAACAAAACACTTGAGCCACCAAACCATGTGTGGTCTTGGTGAATGTTGAGTAGAGAACCAGGTTTCTATGTTAAAAATTGAAGATGGATTACCCAGATTTGTATATTTTTTTGCTTGTTTGTCTTTAGAAGTAGTCCTTAGTTTTCCTCCATTATATGTGGTCACTTTTCCATATTGGAATTGTGTATTCCAGAACATTTCTGGCTCCTGGAAGTGCTCTGAAAGTAATGAAATTTGGTTTGCCTCCAAAGTAGTTTTTCATTAAGATTGTAGTAGGGAGACATGAATAAAGCCCAGTGAGAATAAAGCCCAGTGACTGCTATTTCCATTTGAGCAACAAGGTAGAAGAAGAATATCAGAACATATTCTTGATCCCTATTGAAATATTTGTAAAGATCAGTAAAGTGGGAATAATAGGCAATTATACTGAAGCACTAAACACATTTGAAAAGTAGAATTAAAATAAATATGTATTAGCAAGCTAGAATCTGGGTCCTGCTAGATTCTGGCTTATTCAGTATACTTTTAATTTCTGTTAGTCACAGATCTTGACTTATAGTAGTGTCATTTCACTTGCAAAGTTAAAGGTATTAACTTTTGAAATCAGGTAAGAGGAGACCTAGATATCTACCTGCCTCATGATTAGAGTTTACCATGTAATTAGAATTAAGGAAAAGTCACTGGTTATATTATATATACAACCACATTTAATACTGCCCTTGTTTACAGAGAAAAAACGGTTGGAGGCCAAGCAACGGGAAGACATCTGGGAAGGCAGAGACCAGTCTGCAGTATGAACATCACTCACTGAAAGGGATAATTCCATGAATCAGAAAATCTTTCCACAGTCTTCAAATTAGAGGATCCTTCCAGAGCTCTGTGTACATGCAGATGTGCATGTCAAAGAAGGAGATAAAGCAATCAGGACAAGGACTGATGGTATGGAAAGAAGATAGACCTCTGTCTTCACTCCTAAATGCCATTCTTTGGAACTGCCTTACTGTGGTGGGCATAGAAAGGAGCCATCAGCCAGGAAGAAACATGGGAGATGTGACTTCCAGGAGTCTTCTAGACAGGGCAAGTCATGTTAGTGTGGGTCAGACTTCCAAGATGTTTAAAGCAAATACAGAACAGATCAGAGGATTCAAACCTGCAATGATGTGAGATTTAGGCCCTACAAAGAGCATTCCTTAGTACCTCATAAAGCTGAGAACAGCAATATTGGGGACAAGGGAGGGGGATGGGTAGGGAGCAGTTAGTACAGAGAGACAGAACAGTGTCTGGTGTACTTAGCATGCACAGACTCCACACTGCCATTTCCAGGACTCCAGAGTTGGTGAACTGCAGCAGATGTGGGTGTTTGGACTCCAGAGTCTGCACTGAGCTCAGTGCCTGGGGCTGCTCCAGCTGCACAGCAGCCAGTGGGCATGCCAGCTTCATTCCTTATAGTAAGCCAGCCTCGGGAGTTGTTTGCCAGCTCCCGTTTACGCAGTAATATGTTGTAAGAGGGAGACATTAAAGCCCATTTTATGACATATATCACTCTGGTATTTGTCAGTTTTGTCATTCCCACAAAGAAATAGGAGAGCAGCTCTCCTCTTATCTTCATGTGTGTAATGCTGTACGTGGGTCAAGTGGGTATGTTTCTTTTATTGAACACTGCTGAGCAGAGAGTGGATCATCTCTCTGCCTCAAAGTATACTACAGAAATGACTGTCCTGGGATTGATATGTAGCAGCTCCTCTCCCCATCTTTTCCTCCTTGTGGACTCCCATCCCAACCTCTTGCCTTTTCCCATCTCTGTCAAATCTGACGTCCTGCAGAAAACATCTGGCACACAGCATGCTCTTGGTAGGATCTTCTCAGCCTGTGCCAGAGGCTCTTGACAAACAGCACCAGATCGTCAGATAAAATGATGCTCAGCCAGGATAAAATAAACATCTCTGGGCAGTGAGAGATTTCCTAAAGGACATGGACAAGTCAGAGCCCTCAACTCAGGCTTTCTTAATGTTTTGGGGAAGTAGTTCTGCACTGAAGAAATGGTAGTGCTGGCCCTTGAGAGGCTGAGGTGGCAAGAAATAGTGTCTCATTGTGCTTTCAACTAGGGCAACAGCCTCATTTTTTTATGATTTAGTGCCCATGACAGTGATGGGTTATTAGCATTGCCTAGAACATGGGGGAGTGGAGCTCTGTTCAGATGTTCCTCAAATAACGCTAGCCGTGGGTCTTAGTCCTGACCCAATTATCACTGCTGCCATTCTGGTCTTAGAGCCCTCTCACAGTTCCTCAGCATTGTTTTTCTCATTCTGGTTTGGTTCTGCCAGTGTCCCTTATTCATGTTCAGTGCCTCCATGCCAACTTTGGGGGATTAAATAATCCTCTTGACCCTCCTTTCACTACTACTTTGTCCAGTACCCCTTTCTTTGGCTTACAGCTGGAGGACTTGTGCCCTCTGTCTTCATGGAACAGACTTCTCTAAGATAGGCAGGTCTGTTTGAACAGTATGGCTGCGTTTCTAAGAAAATGTGGGGAATTGCAGCCACATTTCATACTGAATAGTATACCTCTGAGGTATCCCTTTGCTCTGTTTTGATTCCTCAAAGCCGAGAATGACCTTGGGCAGTAAAAAAGAGATGACTGCTGCTATCACTTGCCTGTGAGGGTGCTTCCCCTTTCTGACTGCATTTTAGCTTTTAAGGGCATTGCTAATGGTAACGTGTAGCTCCTTGCTTATTACCTAGTTTTCTTGTAGTCCTCATAATTTCAATAAGTTACTTTTGTTCTCATTCTAATGCTGTGTATCAGTAGCCAGTCCTTTTTTTTCAGCTGACAGCCACCTCTAACTTTCAGGTTTATTCTTATAACCATACTCAGAGAAAGGATTTTTTTTTTAGGTCAACACTTGAAAATTATGGAGTGCTGTTGCTTCTACCATTAGTAGAGAATGTGCTTTTTAGTTATATTATTCTAGTAGTTGGGATTGATGTACACTAGATGGAGATAAGAGGTCCTGCCATCACAGACTATGTCAGGCTTGTCTAGATGGGATTCAAATCCTCTGCTGTATCTAAACCGTGCTTCACCAGCTGAATTAGGTGTGGAACACCCCGTAGCTGCCACTGGGCTTCTTTGCTCAGTGTTCGGGAAGATAGTTGATGTACTCTTCTATACATATATGTTTCATATATGCTGAACATCTAAATCCCAGGATCACCTGGAATTTATAGTAGAAAGTTGCATTCCCCATGAGTTCTAATATGCTCCTCATAGAGTGAAAGTCTTTGTAGAATAGAGGTACATTAGACTTCTGAAGAGTAACCTGAGGTTCCTAACACCTTAATTTCTTTTAGACTAAAGTATGCTGAATTGAAAATCTTCTGACATTTTTGGTTCTGTCTCGAATTTGGTGGTTGGTATTCTGTTAACATTCCTCATCTAGTTATAAGTCATGCCAGCCACCACTCTTCTCATGTGCTTCCCTTTCATCTCAAAGGTGTAACAGCACAACCCTTGTATAGCTTTTTCCAAGAATTAGAACTGGCTGCTCCTATCAAACGTGTGATGTGGGCAGCAAGGCTGAGACCAGAGCTGGTGGCTGTCTGCCTGGCCTGCTTTTTCTGGCCCTCTTGGAAACTAGATCCAGCAAGAAGCTGTGGGTAACCTCCCTGCCTGAATCTAGTCATCAGTCACCACACGCTTCCCCACTAGCTGCACATTCTTTCACAGCCCATTAGCTGCATATGTGAGTATAATGTTGTTACTGTTTGGGAGATGTTTGCTGGATCCAACAGGAAATCAGTCCTTCCCTTGTTTACCTAAACTGCCATGCTAAAATATAATGCTCCCTCTGCCTAATGAAGGAGATGAGGGAGTTGAGAAGAAAGAAGAAAGCACTTCTTTGTATTCATAGAGGGTATCCCAGAACATGTACCATTTCACTCCCTAAGGAGGAGATAGCTCTTGTGATGTGGGGAGGGGAGTACTGTTGTAAATCTCCATCTGCTACTATTTGTCTTGGCTCTATAGCCTCAGTTATAAAAATTTACAGTCCTTGGACTTTACCTTCTTGCTCCTACCTTTCATCCCATGTTTCAGCATTGAGCCTGGGGAGCATGATTGGGAAGCAGACAGTAGGCTAATATATGATTAGAGAAACATAGTGAGGCTTTCATGAGTAGTGTGTGAGCCCTGTGCATCCTAGTCCCTAGCTCAGTGGAAATGAAGAAGGGTGAAGTTAACTGGGATCTGGACATAAGCGCAGCTGGTCTTTTGTAGCAGTCCATAATGAGCAACCTTTATTGGCATTAGGGTGTCAGACTATAAGGATCTGTTAAGTGTGTTTCAGCAGAGAAAAGATTAAGAATCACATCAAGAAGACTGGGATTTTATACTACCTGAGCTAGAGCATGTCGCAGCCACATCAAGAAGGGATGGTGGCCTTTTCCAGGTTCAGTCCTTAACTAAATTAAATGTTCCCCCTTCTGATTTCTCTATAGTTACCTGTCCCTCACTCTACCAGACATGTCTTTGTATTCCTATAGAGTTGAGTAGCTTGTTTGACTGATGTTCTTCCCATTGCAAAACTTTATTCAATGCAAAGTTCACTCCAGATCCTTGGTTGAAATTTAGACCAATCCTGAAATGCATGGTGATTCTGAGACTGGACTGCCTGCCAGGTAAATGGCACATATTTTTTCCTTGTCAGAGGTCCTGGCAAGGGCTGAGGTCCATATTACTTTAGCAGTCTTTCTTCTTGGCTTTCTCTTGATGCTCTGCAGGAAGATCCCATCTGGCCACTTCTGCGAAACTTGTCCCTTCACAAGATCTCAGTAGTTGATGGTGTTGGCCCATCAAGAGATAAAGAGATGCCTGAAGCCTAAGCTTTTAGGGCTATTAGAAACACCCATGTGTGTGGTAGGGAAAGGTAAGGACACTAGGGAACAGATTCTTAGCAGAGTATGAGAAGTGAGTTCTAAATGAGGACAGATGAAGCAAGAGACTAAATTCACCAACTTTTTTGCCAGTTGTGACTTTGACACAAGTTGTGTTACCTTGAGAGCTAACCCCCCCTGCTGTGTATTTTGTTCCTCTGTCCTCTACTCCTCTAAGACATTTGCAAAGCACCACTTAGGTGGGGGACTGGGCCATAGTCCATCCCTAAGGAACTGAGGGGTTCTGGAAGCTGGGAACTCTGGCAAGATCCAGGAAAGATTGGATCTCCTTATGGAGGAGTTCAGCCGAACAAAGCCTGGACGCCATACTCCATAGTACATAGGCCCTTTAGGACACAGGCCCAGAGCCATCCTGAGGGAGCAGTACCATCCTGGTTTGGTGATCTTGCCATCAAAAGGCTTCCTGAGCAGGTTCTTGGTGCCCCTTGGCACTGGCCCATTTTCCTCTGAATTAGGGCTCTGTGAAGGGCATGGCTCCAGTAAGCTGAGGTATCTGGTGTATGGGCAGCAGCTAGGAGTGTACACTGATGATGGCTTCAAATAATGTTGTTCCTGAGACGCTGTTCCTGCTCCAGGGAGAGCTCTGCATTGGCTCGGTATGAATCCCCTGTGGGCCAAAGGAAAACAGGTAAGTAGCCAACCCTACCGCAGTCTCATCCTTTCCCTGAACTTCACACAGATCCATTCTGCTCAGCTCATTCTTTACATCATCAGGTCAGTCAGGGCACAGACCAGTTATTCTATAGAAGTAGACCCTGGCCAGGTGTGTGGTTTCAGGACCATCAGGAAGAATAGGCTATTGAGTAGAAAGGGTTGTACTGGTTATTCTCCTTTGCCCCCTCCCCAGATTGATTCTCTCCCCTTTGCTCTCTCTATGTCCCAGAGAACTGACTCCTAGAGACTGCACCACTCTGACTCCCTTGTCCTCTGGTTGAGTTAGCACAATGAGAAGCAACACCACTAGGTGAGAGGGTGGAAAGAGAGGTGGCATTTCTTCTCCTGCTCTGGCTCTGCAGATTTTGCAGTGACAGTCTATGACTCCACCTCTGGCCAGGTTCACCCTCCTCCACGGCACTAGCTTTCACCTGGCTTCAGGACACCCCCTGCCCCTTCAAGCCTAAAGGGGATAACAATTTTCCACTCTTGTTTATTCATGGATGCCTTAACATCCCTTGTTTCCTTAGTCTTAATACACACCTCTGTAAATAGTCCTTTCATTAAATGGCTTCAGACTCTTCAGACTCTCTGTGCCTCGCATTTTCTGCAAGGACCCTGACAAGTCTCTAACCATTGGAAAACAACCTGGAGAACTGCATTTGTTTTCCCACTCATCACTGCCCTGGTTCCTTCGCAGCCTGATTCTAGCATTATGGAGTATCTGTTGTCTCCATATGGACAGCCTTGGATTCCAATTCCTGATTCTTCCCATATCCCTGTCTCATTTAATGGCAGCAAAATGTATTCAGTGACACAGATTCAAAGGACTATTCTTTTTTTTTTTTTAAAGATGACCGGTAAGGAGATCTCAACCCTTGGCTTGGTGTTGTCAGCACCAGGTTCAACCAGTGAGCAAACCGGCCATCCCTA